AAAATTCAAGTGTTGTTGTGACCTCCTTAATTAATACTGCAAATCTGATGTTGGTTGGCTCTTCTCATATTTGTTCTTATATTTCACTTCTTGCACATGACTTACCTGAGCAATCGCAGATCGAGGTAACCTGCGAATCTGCGATTCATTAAACGTACTAAAACATTTCTACCTGATTTAGCTAATGAGCGTCCGACTTTACCTCTTTCCCTTTGGAAAAAACTGCAGCCTCAACCATTAGATTTGAATCAAGGATAGTTTATTTTTTGGAATACTCACAGCTCCCATGATGACCATCTTGTTTTTAGCTAGAACTACCACTTTCTCTTGATCAACAAAACTGAAACATCAAAACAATCCTTAATATTTTAACCCAACATGTGTTCTGAAGATTAATCTGACCGTTGATTGTCTTTTTGTCTTAAAAAATTAAAACCAATGATGCCATCAAATGTGATATGAGCTTCAGTAACTTCGACAACAACCGACTGACCTAGCTGGAAAAATAAATGTAAACGAACTTCACATATTTTATTTAGTTTGCCACCACATGCAGTTAGGACTTGCTTGTACGCACTCACCAAATCTGGTCGTCTAGCCAGTAGTATCATATTATACCATATTCCTGACTTGGTACAGTCATTTTCTGAAGAAAATGCTGGATTAAACGCAATTTTTTAGCTAGCTCAACCTCCCGATTGTTTGACAGTTGTTTAAAGCTCCGTTATGTTGACAAAATTGTCTTCTCTGAAATAATAGTTACTGTTGATCCTGTGTCTGCCAAAAAATGACACGAAAGGAACTACTTGGAGTAGTTCACTGTACAAAACATTTCAAGCATTACTTATATGATAAACCGTTTATTGTCCGTACTGACCACATGTATCTTAGCTTGCTTCGTAATTTAAAGGAGCCAGAGTGAAAAATAACAAGATGGCTCCAGATTTTTAGTTCATACGATATGAAAATAGTCCACAGACCTTGGAAGCAACACCTTAGTGACACCTCATACGCATTCCATATCGAAAAGGCAATTTCAACCTAATGTAAAAGAGGAGTCAAGTGATATTTGTTTTGTGGAAAAGCAAAAAGAGGACAATGATTTGATTATAGTCCGTGAATGGTAGCGTTGAAAAAGAAACAAAAATTCGTGCTGAGTCAATGACAGTGAAGACTCATTTGTCTCTATTTGATGTTTTTGTTATATCCAATGATATTATGCACCGTCAAAAGCAGTAACCGAAAGCAGTGTTACCAAAAAGTGAGAGAAGAGCAGTTTTGAACCAATATCATGAAATTCGCATTTCAGCAGTAATGGGGTAAGAAAGACTTTAGACAAAATCGTAAATGGATATAACTGGCCAAAACTTCAGCCTGATGTGAAGCAATAGTTCAATAACTGTAAAAGTTCAAAACGAAAGACTCCGAAAAAATAAAAACGAACAACTACGAAGATATTAGAGTCTAGTTTCCAAATGTATTACCATGAATATTCTTTGTAGGTAACCAATGACCAGGAGTGAAAACAAATATATTTGTGTTATTTCAGATTATTATGCAAATTGGACCGATAAATTTTAAATGCCATACATTTTTGCGCAAATTGCATCAAAACTTTTAGTTAACAAATAATTGTATATGTACTTTTTCTCTCTCCGAAATTGGTATTGCCAATGAACTCGAATGTATTTGGTTTCGCGGTATTTCCTAAAATATAAAACCATGAATAACGGAATCTAACTTTTCATTGATTAAGTCTTTATCTTTTTTTAAATAATTAGAAAGAAAAAAACTATTATTCAATCGTCAAAACGGTTATCTGTTCGATAGAGGTTAGTATCTGATTAAATTGTTATTAACACAATAAAGCTGTCCAATTTGGCTTTGGCATTATTTGTGACCTTTTGTCCGTTTTGTGCATTGATAACTGGTGTTGTTTTAACAGTTTCACACCCAAATCAATACAATCGGATCAGGGAGTATATTTGAATTTGCACGTGTTCAAGAGCGTGGAAGCTCTCACAGACCAATTAGACATTATAGGACGGGATGGTTGGGGTTTACCAAACACTAGTTACAATACTGGGCTTATAGTTGTTAATTTCTGAGTCATTTGGTCACTAGTGGATAGTTGTCTCATTGGCAATCATACCACATCTTCTTATTTTCATATTATATGTTGTTTAATATTTAAATGATTGTGCTAACATTTGCCTGCTTTCAAATATTCGGCTTTGAGCGTTCCTGATGATGGTAAATCCAGAAAAGCACTTCGGACGCATGAAATCTAAAAAGTGTTGTTTTCATTTTTTTACAGGTTTCACTCGCTAAATTTACTACTTGTACTATGTTTCTGTAACTTGATCCGATGAAACGTCATTAGTGTCTGAGCAGAAAAAGTTGATGAATCAGGGTTATGTTAAACATCTCGTCCTTTTTCTAAAAAAGTTCATCGGAAGATACCAAGACCGTGTTGATATATATTCCGTATCAACTTCACAAATAATACATGATGGTCTTGAAGTATCCATATGTCGTGGCTCGGTATTTATATGTTAGCGGCAATAAGTGAAATAAGGCATTAAGCTTTAATCCTAGGCAATAAGCTAACGCCTAGGCATTAAGTTATTGCCTGAAATTTTCAGGCTTTAAACTTATTTCCTGGAATTTGATGATGATTATTCAACCTTTTGCCAAACATCATTTCAGGCAATAAGTTAACTTTTGGATTTTTGTTTATCTTCCAAATACATGTACATTTGGTGAAATATTCTGATGAATAATATTTAAATAATTATATTCCAAAAATTATTAGAAACTGACTTTAAAACATCTTAAATTTTCAGTATTTTTCGTATTTAAAACAGAACTTCGTCCTATTTCTTTGTGGTATTGCTCTTCAAAGGTAGAGCCGGTTTGAGCTGGTCAAAATTAGACAACTGAAGATATGAAATTGTGCCAGTCACTGTTTTTCCATCTGTTTTATTGGATATGTAAATTTTCTTAAATACCCATCTTGTCTTTTCACTTCTTAATCTGGATTATTAGCATTTAAGCAAGAACAAAATTTCTCGAATTTTTGCGGAATATAAATTTGAATCAGGGAAAACAAAATCATATACTCAAAGCAAAAGTACAATGATTATTTGGCAATTTTGAAAGATTAAACTTTTAAAATCAGAAAATAAGGATTCTATAGTTTATTAAAATTTAAAATGGTATGAATAAAGGCAACAGTAGTATACCGCTTTTCGAAATTCATAAATCGATTGAGAAAAAATCCAGGTTACAAACTAAAACTGACGGAAACACATCAAATATAAGAGGAGAAAAATGTAACACACACAGAAACGAACTATAATATAACAATAGCCATTTTCCTGACTTGGTACAGGACATTTTAAGAAAAAAATGGTGGGTTGAACCTCGTTTTTGTGGCTAGCCGAACCTCCCTCTTTTGTGGCAATGTTAGATATAACATTAAAATGACAACATTACATGACAGGACTACAATACAAATAAATGAGAGAACATATAGGACAGAGAAACATACGAATAATAGCTAACAAAAGGTACCAGGTTTAAAATTAAAATACGCAAGACGCGCGTTTCGTCCACACAAGACTAACCAGTGACGCTCAGATCAAAAAAGTACGAAAGCCAAAACAAGTACAAAGTTGAAGAGCATTGAGGACCAAAAGTTCCAAAAAGTTGTGCCAAATACGGCTAAGGTTATATGTCTGGGATAAGAAAATCCTTAGTATTTAGAATAATTCATACATCTGCTTACCCTTCCGGAGCACCTGAGATCACCCCCCCCCCCCCCCCAGTTTTTGGTGGGTTTCGTGTTGCCTAGTCTTTAGTTTTCTATGTTGTGTCATCTGTACTATTATTTGTCTGTTTGTCTTTTTATTTTTTGCCATGGCATTGTCAGTTTGTTTTCGATCTATGAGTTTGACTGTCCCTCTGGTATCTTTCGTTCCTCTTTTATACCATTGGCGATTTGAAAGACTCATAATTAAAGTATAAGAGAATGATTAGGGAAATTTCAAAGTTTATGTTTTTCTATAGGAAGTGTATTGTATTTTGGAAGAAAAAAAAGAAATATGTCAAATCGGCCTATCATCTTTATAGACCGTAGAATTAAACAACATAATAATGGCTTTGCAAACGTTTTCCATCATTCCATTGTACTATTTCTTCCATTTTGTGAAAATTGTAGAATGATAAAATGTGCATAAGGAAGGGAGTAGTAGTAAAACCTGTTTTATAAAAAGAGTTTTACAGAAGGGGATAGGTTGATTTAATCGTTTTCCAATCAAAGTAAGATGCAAACTATATTTTCTATGGTGAACCAAGAACACCTGAAAAAAATGATATTGCTAGAGCTCTTACATCAAAGGGTGCTTCAAAGGTGGCTTCTAATTTAGTATTTGTTTTCACAATATTTGGTGTGCCACATAAACAGCAAAGTGACAAAGGTTTTGAATTTACAGCTAAGGTTATATCTGAATTAATGCTAATGTGGTCAAAACTATTTTTGTTCACGGGAAGCTGATACATTTCCAATCACAGGGTAGTATTGAGTGGTCAAACGGAAATATTCATGACATGCTTACTGCATGGATGGGAAACAACGAATTAACAGTGGTCAATTGGAATTTTGCTCTACACAAAGGTATTGGACGATCACCAGGTATAAATGCTATAAAAAATTAGTGACTGCTAAAACTGTGAAATAGTCTGTGCCTAGCTTCACACCAATTGGTAACAAATAAATTTTAATACAATTTTCTATCAATATAAAAATAAGGTGTATTATGATTGCTAATGAGACAACTATCCAACAAGTTAACATATATTTTAAGAGATTTATTCAATGAGTTTTAACATCAATACTTTTTTACTTATGATTTTGTTTCATGTAATTGACATTTAAACTTCAGTTCTTATTATTTTATTATGTACAAAATGTATTTTAACTTTTATTTACTCCTATTTTTATCTTAGGCATTAGCATTAATGCCTGGACATAATTTTCAGGATTTAAGAGTAATGCCTAACATTATTTAGGCAATAGACTTACTGCCTAGGCGTTAGCTTATTGCCTAGGATTTAAGCTTAATGCCTAATTTCACTTATTGCCGTTAACATATACATCCCGCCATTGTATTATTGAGCTGTGGTATTTTTTTTGTATTCTTGTCTTTCATTTCTGCTTATGTGCTTTGTCTATTTGTCATTTTGTTTTTCTTTGTTGACATAGTTGTTTCTTTTATAGTGATTAAAATTATAACACAATGCTGACTACTATACCCCAATTTTGCATATTATGTCTGTTTATTTTGTTCACACATTGTTGTCAATATAATGGAATTTTATGCGACTGTCATACAAGTGAGAGGTTTAGCTAGCTATAAAACCAGCTTTAATCCATTATTTTCTACATAAGGAAATGCTTGTACCAAGTCAGGAGTATGACAGTTGTTTTCTATTAGTTTGATGTGTTTGAGCATTTGATTTTGCCATTTGATAAGGGACTCTACGTTTTGAATTTTCCTTGGAGTTCGGTATTTTTGTTATTTTACTTTTTGCTGATATACTCCTTGATGAGATTAAATCATTTCATTACTCTGTGATGCCTAGTAACAAGGGGTGTTTTAATCATGAGCGAGTCCATCTTATTGAATTATATATTTATTACTATATACAGAGTACCGTAGCAATTAGGGGTGTTGTTAAAGTTCAATATCTTATTGTCAATTAAAGACTACCATTACAGGCAGAACAATCAAGTTAAATTTGGTACAAATGATTACTATGATTACAATGATTTGGTTACAAAAATTTATGAATAAAATGAAAAGAAAGATGTAAGCGATGTCAGATGAATCCTAAATAAGAACGATAAACAATTGTATCTAAATACCATTAAAGGGGCATTAGCTACGAGATATAAAAAAAACATATGATTTTATTTTGTTCAATCATTAATGAAAGTGAAATAGTGAAATAATAATTCGCTTTTAACAGCCAGTTTGGTTCAGTTTTGTCAAAATAAGCAAAGAAACATCTTTAATGAATTATTCTGAATAATTTGACCTCATTGAATCCATATGCATGTGAACTTTAATTGATCCCTCTAGCTAGAGGTGGGTTACGCATGATCTAGGGCGTGTTCAGTTATCAAACGGAAAAGAATGTTAACATTGGAAGTGAAACAAGGGTTAACCATTTAGTTGACTGATTCGATCTAGAAAAACTTATTCTTATACAGGTAAAAACCATGATTACCATAGTTTTTAATAGCATGAAATCAAACAGACCTAGCAAAATCCAATTGCACGAGTTAGCAATCTATTTATATCTATGGTTGTGTTTATATCGGGTTATATGACCGTCGGCAGTCTTCGGAGGTCACCTCGATGGTTAATTAGATGGCGTCTAGACTAAAATACACACGAAAAGCTGATACATACTATCGAGTCTATGTACCGTAAATTGTTTATTTTAGACTTTTTATAGTTGGGATATGCATTTTAGTATGTTATAAGTCGAATATAAGAATTTGAGTCAAATCGGTGAACATGAATTTGACAGCTAATGCCTTTTTAAGACACCAATAATAATTTTATCTAATCAACACATCTACAACAAATGTCATGCAAATAAGCATTCATCATTGCACGTTTATTATATAGCCACAGAAATTAAAGCAGTATATTATGTCGCACCGTGACAATTTCTTCACATATGCATTTAGAACTTATTGAATTTCATTTGAATATCGACAAAATGATATATATATTATACGTTTTTGTCACTTTAAATTGAGTTTTCTTGGAATTAACTCGACATGATTTGTTTAAAAATTATATGTTATTACTGGGTAGCGAAGTGCACGGTAACCTAAGATTTTTATTGTAATAGGATTTGCAGTAATCGGAAGTTTGTATGAAAAAGTGAGGATACATGAATAATTGATTGATTGATAACAGTTTAACGAAGATACATGTAGATTTTTAGACAGATGATGTTTATCAAAGGAAAGTCTATCATTGTCAAAATAAAAAAAAAATGAATTAAACAAACGACTTACAAAAAGCATTACAAAATACAAATTTTAGATTAAGTACAAAATAAAAGATAAGGTGTTCTGGTAGGCTTTGTAGTTTGCTGGTAGTATTCTTGGTCAAAACCGATATTATGCGACGAACGAAGAAAGTTTTCATCCAGATGTGTTATGTTTGTTTGGAAATGAGTTATATTAGTTCAGCTATTAAGGAAGAGCAGCAATATCTTTCTTCTTGTTTACCGTATAAAGCAAATGTTTATGAACATGTATGCTACATATTATTGTAAATGATATTTTCTTCTTACCTGAAGGCAGTAGTCGATGAGTTAAGACATTTTAATACTTAGATATTGTTTCCTGCCTCTACTGCTAAGATCAAAAACAAAAATAGTATTTTTGATAGTATAATTTTCGATTTATAAGAATAACATTTAAGCACATTTCAATACATCATTAAAACCGTATAGAGACAGTTCACATTATAATTTACATGACTCTCTTTTGAACTTTACTTGAAAAACATTTTTGGGTATGGTAGAATCCCATTTGTTTTTCATCATCATAGTTGCTGCGATTCTTCCTATTTCATCACTAGATTTTGCTGCGTAACCATTTCCTCCAATAGATACCCCAAGCTGAGAGTGTATTGTATCAATGTATGGTCTTCCTGTTAGGGTCTCAGTTATAACACACCAATCACCATGGTATCTGTCCAGATTAACACCTGCAAAGAAAAACAAAAACAAATATTTTTTACAGTGTTAAAAAAATACATCACTTCCCTGTTTACTGTAATCTGCAAATAAGAAGTAAACTCATATGGGAACATTTAAGAGGTTTGATAAAAAAAGATGGAAGTTTGGCTTCGTGGTATAAAAAAAAACTAAATCAGTTATTAATATTATCTCTTCTCACATGATTCGTCTAAGACGTTACCAAAGGAAACAAAATTTATAATTAAACAATCGCAACATTAAGGCAAAAAAATTAAATGCCAAATATACAAACATTAGCCAGATAACACAAATTTTGAGCAACTCTAACCCTTCCTTAAACCAGGGGTTAACTCAAGTAGTGTATGAATTACAAATTTGAAAACTAGTAATATTAATCATATACAGTGCTAGTTTCTCTTTCGCTTCCTTGTTGCATTTAAACTTAAATTGGAATTATTGTTGATGTAAACTGACCCTTTACAACATTTTGTATCAGCTCAGCTGTAGCGTTCACTAATCTTGTATCTCCTCCGCGACAAAACCATTCTTTCACTTCCTTGCTGGTGGTAAAGCGTTTAAAACTTGTATGGTGAAAGTGTCCCAACTTGATATAATATTTACCTAAAGAAACGCAAAATGCATATAAGTCAACGTTGAACAATCATTTGATAAATTTTGTAAGTAATTTTGTACTCCTTTTTTCTATCTAAATCGCCTTTGAGTTTACAGTTCATGCGTCATTTCCTTTTCTGATTATACGAATAAAAATATTGACCTCATATGTCATTTGTTGACTTTTGTTTTGTTTTTCGTTGTGTGTGCTTCGTTGTATACACATAATCTCCATTTATCAATATGTCTACCTTCAAGTTCAAAACGCACTAATGGTAAGGCTGCATTTGTCAATTTATTTTTAAAGGCGAAGTTAACGTAATTGAACAGTATTTCTGATTTTTATGAAACTGTTGTATTCCTTTAGAACTCGTTCAATTGTATCTGAATGTCGAAAAACAAATGAAATATATAGCATTTAAACTTCCTGCGATACAATAAATTAATAATTGGTAAAGTTGATTTATAATTTTATAGGATTTACATGAAATAAGGTCTCTACGTTCATTTGTTATTTCTCAAAAATTCCGTCCACAAAATTTGGTTTAAAAATTATATAATAAAGCTGTGCAATTTTTTTATTTTCGTATTATACGTTTATTGTTATTCCACTAGATCGGTATCGCAGCTAGTGAACTGTTAGTTCCCGAGCGTACCCTCCACCCAGTTTTTTTAAACTTATACAAAATGAAGTTGTGTGCATTTGGCTTCAAAACTATTACGTCGAGAGTTCTGTGCAAAGGTTATTCTAAAACTTGAGGCTCTAAAGAGCATGTGTTGCTCACCGAGGTCTATGTGCATATTCAACAAAGGACACTCTCCAACATTGTAGACGAGAATAGAATTCATGACAAAAATCTCTGTTTTGTTGATATTGTATTGCTGATCATTTAGTCTGTTTAGTTTCTATCAATCTTCTTTAGTTTTGCTCAAAACACAAAATAGGGTAAAAAAATCCCCATTTAAAGGCAATCACTCCTATAAAGAGCGACAGACTACTAACTATATCGGCAAAATTTGATTTGTTAGTAGATCTTGCCTTGCTGATCACTATGTAAAGTGTCTATTTATCTATTCTTATTTTTATCATATAAAGCAAAACGCCAAAAAAAAAAGAAATGGTAAAATCGTCATTAAAGGGCAATAACTTCAATAAGGAAATGTCGGACGACTTCCTTCATATTGTCTTAATTGTAGATTTTGTCTTGCTGATCATTTGTGCTTACCTAAGTTTCTAACTATCTATTACAATTTTTAAGATATAAGGCAAAAACGCCAAAAATTGGTAAATATCGTCATCAAAGGGCAATAACTCTAATAAGGAGTCGACTGACAATTTCGACCATGCGGACTTATTTGTAGATCTTGTCTTGCTGATCATTTTTTGCAATTTAAAGAAAACCAAAAATGATCTTTTAGTAAGCGATTTACTCGTTACACTTATCTGTCTAATGGTTAATTATTTCGTAATCAGTATAACCATTCCCTAAATGTAAACATATAAAAATACATTACCATCTGGATATTTCACTGCGGGTAGCATATACCAACTTATATGATCATTCTCAGAACGAGGGAATATTTTGGTCCAATCATTTGCTCCTTTACCAGAATATAAGACACTTGGCATTTTCCTGAAGGATGAAGTATTTGATATAATCCATTACACTATTTTAGTACACAGCAACGTTTAATTTTTAAATTCGACTTCCCAATTTTTTTTTATAACGAGGGTACCCGGCCTTTGAACCAAAATTTGCTATCGTTCTTATTTTTATATTTTTAAAAAAGAACATTTTATTTTTCTCATTTTGAACAGGCAAATATGATAGTCTAAAACTTTGGAAGATCAAGAACATTTTCAAAATTCGGATTAAAGGTTTAGGAAGATACAAACGGAAACTTTAATGTATGCCAAAATAATCATAAAAATCATTTAAGGTAAATTGCCTTTTTAATCGAAGATGTTACGACCAAATACCAAACAAGCGAGTGTGTAATCATGATAGTGAAAAGATCTTATGTATTTTCTAATGCAGGTGTCACACTGTCCCGAAATTGACACCCGATATCCATACGAACTCGGAATTTTGAATTGCGGGCGAAGATGGTTCTGAACTTAGTCAACAGCTAATCATCAGTCGAAGCAAGTACGATGCCTACAGAATGTATTACTATAGCACCCGAACCATTCATGAAGGCAACACAGAGATGGGAATTTTTATTACGATGTGTATAAGCCGGAAACACGAAGGCAACACGATGGCCATACGATGTCGAATTGAGAGTACGATGCGTTCGAACTTGGTCACGAAGGTGTCACGAGACCTCCCGATGGTATAAAACCTTCTGCCGACCGTGGGAAATTAAATTAATTACCTAATGTTTTGGAACTTTATCTTTATTTTGCAAGTTATTTTAATTTCTATATTAAAGTAATTTTCAATCAAATTTTCAGAAATAAAATTTATTACTCCATACACATTTTGCTTAAAGTTACAATACAATATGTAAAAATAATTTGTTCATCATCATAATGATGGTGTCAATGCATTGATTTTACTGTCACTGCTTCGAGGGAATAGTTACTGGATCATCTTGTCCTATCATGGAACCTAACAAGCCTTTGGGGTAAAGTAGTGACCCAGGTATATTTTAATTTGACTCACACTCTGGGTTCCAGTGTTCTTTGCCCTCTAATGGTAAACATTCAGAAGTATTTGTCATTTCTCCATGCCCCTGGGGATGACATTTTGATTCTGGTCCTGTAAGTTCATCAGATTGTTTTGGGATGCTGCATTTCTCAGTCTGATGAGATTGTGAAGGCTCACACAAGTTTTGATGAATTTTCTCTGCATGTCTCTGATTCATAGTCCTGAGCAAAAAAAAACTTGTGTGCGAGAATACCAAAGGCATTCTCCACTACACACGCCTGGCTCTGGAGAATCTATAATCAAATATTCTCTCATGGAGCTCTATTGTTCTGATGGAGAACTGGTTTTGCAGGTGCTTGTTGATCTCAAAAGCATTGTCCCCCACTATGTAGTATGGGACAGGAACGTCATCACCAGGTAGAGACTTCTCTTCTGGGAGATTGAATATGTTGTTCAGACTTTCCAGGCCTTCCATCAGTTCTGAACCATTGTAGACACTGGCATCGTTGCTGGAACCATCAGAGCCGACATTAATCCATAGAAACTTCAAGTGTCAACCAGGGCCATGAGAACAATGGAGAAGAAGCCCTTGTAGTTTCTGTACACTTAGCCAGTATTCCAAGGACATGTGACCGTCACATCCTTGCCATCCAGAGCACCACAGCAGTGTGGAAATTTCCATTTCTTCTAAAACTGCTCAGCAATGGCGGTCTACTCCTCAGTTGTAGTAGAACACTGGATCACCTCAACAACAAACTCGGCTTTGGTGGCATCGCAGACATCATTGATACTAGTAATAGAGAGATTGTGTTTGAAGCAACTTATGCCCTTCGTAGGACCTCATCGTAGACGCCTCTGGCAAGTCTTGTGTATTAGTAGAAGGCCTTCTCATCTTCTGTCTGCAGCTCCTGAATTATTAGAGTGTTATAGAGTGTTATAGGGACCGTAACGTTCTCTTCTTTTGTCAGACAACCATTTTGTGACCCACATAGACCTCGGTGTCCTCCTTCGCCTCAGTTTGTTCCTGCACTGGAAAATAAAAAGGCAAAACAAGATAAGCACATAGTCGAATATTAGAAAGGCAAATAGCAAGATGTAATAAAGGGAAATAAGACAATTTTTGCATGTAAGAGGAATAGCTGGGAATGTAAGAGTTGCTCATCATTTTCTCTGAGATGCATCAAAAGAAGCAAGGCTGCTGCTTTCTCTTTAATAATTGTCTCATTATCAAAGTATGCCATTCTGCAGGGACTGAATTGTGGTTAATTGTGTGATTGAAGCTTTGAGAGTTACTCAGGACTGTCTGCGAAATATGCTCTGAGGCTAGCCTTTTATGTGTCCAGGTTATCATGACACATGTCAAACGCTTGAGCTACTCAAATTCGGCTGTCTACGCCGACACCGTGGTCCCATCTCGATGTCATCGTACTATAAAACGATGGCTACACGATGGCATTGCGAGAGCTTCGCTTAGTTGTGTTGCCTTCTTGAGGCATTCGGGCAGCTTCTTGTTTCCTTCGTTTCGTCTTCGTGAGGCCAACAATTCCCGATGGCACCGATGATCACACGAAGTAAAGACGAAGATGACATGATTTGATACGATGATAGGTCTTTCGGAAATTTTTTGCCATGTCAAAGATTTTGCCACCACTCACGAAGTTGTAGCCGGATCCTGAAAACTCAACCGGCGGTCATACGATGGCCTTAGATGCCCCCACGAATGGCCCGATGTTTTTACGATCACACCCGAATTTTAACATAATGTATGCCTTGCACAACTTCACCTGGTGTACATCAAATGTGTAAAGTTTCATTCCATTCCATTTAAAACTGTAGTCAATTTTGAGTTCACAAACTTTCCTATATATAGAAATTGCCAAGTCCATGTCATAGTAAAGATAAATAAGGATGATGCCCCTGCTTGCATATCATATTATAAGTTATATGGTTCGCTACTAACCCCGTACGGATCCATAGAGGGTTAGTAAATCTAAGTCGATGTCAAGTTTCTTCCTGGAAGAAACTTTACTGCTGGTGGATTATTCCCCGAGGGCATCATTCACTTGGTAGCTTTATGCATGATGAAAACAAATAATACAAAGAACAAACCGGCTGGGACGTCGCCCGGGTTACCAAGGTCCTCTTTTGCTGCACGGAACACTGTAGCAATTGATTTGTGTGTTCCACGGAATATCCTCCGGGATACCCCTGATGTGACTTACGTTTAGCCAGAAGGTAATTACTACTTTAAAAATTCAGATACTTTTCATAAATTAAAGCTGTTTTGCGTTTATATTTTCAACTGTTTGAATACACCTGCTACAAGTGGATCTACACCTTTCATTTCTTCTTGTAAACACAAAAAAGGAAAAAGGAGCACGTGTAAGACATGTAATATGTTTATCACAACTCCTGATTTTACCAGTAATTTAACAGGAAAACGTATTATACTAAATCTTTCGAGCCTCTGGACTGTTCCACGGACAATGTAGTGTACGGAATTGAATGTACTTTGTGTGGACTACTTTATGTTGGTGAAACTCGACAAACTTTGCGTAAAAGGATGAATCAACACCGGTCTGATAATAAAGATCCGCAATTCAGGGTTCTTTATAATCATTTTAATCAACCAGACCATGATCCGTCTTTATCTATGAAAGTACGCATCATTGAGAAAATTTATCACCACACAAATAGCCCTGTACTTAGTACTCCTTTCCAAAAAAGATAGAGAAAAATTCTGGATAAGGTAACTAGGTACTGCAATGCCATATGGTTGCAATGATAAGTCAAAGGAGTAGGAAATTTGTCAAGTCCAGCCTGCAGTGATGTTAATGTAATGAGTTTATTTAACACTACCTTACGAAACCAACGTAGTCATGGGCAAAAACGTTACCATCGGCCTAATGTAAAAAAGTCTTCCAAATCTAGATCGCCCTCTGGGAGCTTTCATGACCTTCTTTCTCATCTTCATCATCCGCTAGGGTTACATTACATTAGAACTATTCTTTTTTCACTGCCTGTTAATTTTCTAAAATGTTTGAGAGATTATGCACTTGACAAAGGATGCATACATACATTTTCTCCAATATACAGACTTGTCAGTATAATTTGTGATGTAGCTCTTTTCCGTCTTTTTAAACCAGTAAGATTGGAACCTTTACATGAGAAAAAGAGGAAATTCCTTCCTGTTTACTTTACCAATCGAGGAATTGATGCAATCAACATCAGCAACGTTCTACGTCACAAGGAGGTAACATCTAAAATTCCTATTTATTTTCAAAATCAGTCTGTTCCTATTGTATCCTACAGTTACACCAAAACCATTGCACCCAAAATATTTAACTATAAACAAGCATTACAGGACCTTGATTTAGAACAATACCTAAAAAACCCTCTGACATGTGACTGTTCCCACTCGCCTTACAATTACGGCCCCTCTGGCCATGTTATTACTGGGGATCTAAACATAATTCACCTTGAAAATCTCCGAAAGGTGATTTCGCATGGTCCTAAGTTTAGATAACCCCAACACATCAATTGGAACCATAACTTCAAAATAATTATGGATTCCATTGAGGACTACGCCACAGCATGGGCTAAACGAGAAGAAGTTCAACTAGACACTTTGTCAGAATGGGTCAAAACAATCAGGTCTCTGATAAAACGTCGCATTCATAAGTTGAAAAACTGTGTGAATGATCGACCAAAGTCCGTTTTCAGAGACAAAGAGGCTGTGAAATGTCTATCATCTCTTCAAGATAAGTATGTTGTTGTTCCTGCTGACAAAGCTTCAAATAATATTGTCTTTATATGTAAATCGTATTACTACGAGTGTCTTGTAAAAGAATTAGGAATAAATGAGCACTCTGGTAATCCCACATACAAAAACATATCATTTGACAAGGATGAGATTTTGGCGAATCATAAGTCCTTCATGGCTTCAATGAACATTGCATTGAACAACAAATCGGAGGACTTACCTTGTTTGTATTGGATACCTAAACTTCACAAAATTCCGTACAAAAAACGGTACATTGCCGGCTCATCTGCATGTTCCACTAAAGAATTGTCCATTAGATTGGCTAAAATTCTGTCCGCAGTGAAAGAGGGTCTTCAGAAATACTGTGAAACTGTTTACTCGCGTAGTATTAACCATATGTGGATTCTTAAAAACTCTCAAGAACTTCTGGATAATTTTAAATCTCGGTCTTTTTCTGAAATTAGTTCTATCAAAACTTTTGATTTTTCAACCTTGTATACCACCATTCCCCATGTGAAATTGAAAAACCGTCTAAAAGAAATAATCCACAATGCTTTTCATCATAAAAATTGTAGCATACGCTATAAATTTATTACTTTGGGATACCATAAGGCATATTTTGTTTATAGTGAACAAAAGGGTAAAACATGCTACACAGAGGAACAAGTGATCAGTATGCTGGAGTTTCTTATTGACAACATACTTTGAACGACAAAATTATGTTATGTCTACCTGTGCAAATTTCAAACGCGCGATTTTACGCCAGTACTTAAAACCTTCCATCCTTTATGGGTGGATTTTACATAGATAAATAAAATCGTATAATATAAGCAAAATGAGGATTTTAAATTTGATGTATGCTTTTTTTGTGCTTCTTCGTTACATTTGCTTGTTTTTTATAGTGATTAAGATGATAACACAATGTTGACTGCTGTACTCCTATTTTTAACATTTTTACCTATTGTGTCTGTTTGTTTTGTTCACGCATCGTTGTCAATATAATGGAATTTGATGCGACTGTCATACAAGTGAGAGGTTTAGCTAGCTATTAAACCAGGTTCAATCCACCATTTTCTACATAAGAAAATGCCTGTACCAAGTCAGGAATATGACAGTTGTTATCCATTCGTTTGATGTGTTTGTTTTTTTGATTTTGCCATTTGATTGGGGACTTTCCTTTTTGAATTTTCCTCGGAGTTCAGTATTTTTGTGATTTTACTTTTTACCGTGTGTCCACCTGGTGTCAATTTCGGGACAGTGTGACGCCTGCATAAAGGAAAGGTTGTTAAACTGAATTTTAATGGAACATATATATGTAGCCTGAAGTAAATTGTTATTCGTAATGTTACCTTATTCTTTCCACGTCCGATTCTGGTATTTCAACCTTTGCAACAGTCAAAGGACAAAGGTTAACATCTAATTGTAATTCATCTGGGAGAAGTTCTCTAAACCCGGTGAATGCACCGGTTGCTAATAAAACTTTTTTCGCCAAAATCTGTGAAGCTTCCGTTGATATACACATAACATATTCACCGTTTCTTTCAATGCGCCTCACGCGATTAGCTACCTCTGGTAAAAGATGACAACCTTGAGATATTGCTTTAGTGATCTGGGCACTAATTAAACTTCGAGGACTAATATTCCCAGCGTCTTTAAATTCATAAACTGCATCGTCTGATATAGAAACATGTAGAAAGGGAAATTTTTCTTTCAAGGCTTCATTTGTTAAGTACGTGGCATCCATTTTCTGTGTCTTCACTACATCTGTTACTTGGTTCAGAAATTTGGAATCCTTTTCTCCTATCATTAAACATCCAATTTCATCATAAAAGGGAATTCCTGTTAATAATAAGCATAACTGAGTCTATCTTCATTTAGGGAAATGATTGTAATACAATTTTTCGGGTTTTTTTCCCTGTCATATATATTTCTGATTTTTTTCTCATACTTCATTGAAATGTTAAGGCTTTTGATGAATAATTTATGAATTATCTTCAAAGTAAGTTAATAAGTTGAGTGAACACGAATTTAGTGCGCAAGATTCAAGCTAATATAACCAAAACCCCAAAGGCTGCCGATTCCTCTGGTAAAGTCAACCGTTTTCTGTATTGTTTTCTGTTCTGGTTTTTTATGCTTCTAGAATTTTTATTTAATTGCATCCCTTATCTCTCATGTTGAACTACCCAAACATGACGTGTTCCTTGAACTCAGTATTATACGTTGAAATAATGACACAATATTTATGTAAGGTTTTTGATTGCCTTCTTGCTTCTACCTCTAAATTCATTCACAATTTTAGGTCTTCTGGGAATAAGTCATATAATCACATTTTTCAAAAAGAAATCAACAAAGCATATTTTGAACTTCAAAATGATTTGAATATTATTTTTGGAAACTTACTAGTTTTAATTAATAGTTACCTGTGTCTGTTTCTAGTTGTCTATATCTAGCAATTGATTTCTGTGCCAGCATAGCCCACACTGGATCTGGGTCTGTACATCGCGTTATTCTTCCCTCGTCATAATGGCAGCCATATATATCTCTTTTATCATTCACATTTCTACTCTATGAACAAAAATTCTTGGTTACTGAAAACTGTATGTGTTTTGCTACGTATGTTGGAGAGCGAAAACTAAATATGTTTTGCTATGTATGTTGGAGAGCGAAAACTGTACGAGTTTTTCTATGATCGCTCAGGATTTAAAACTGTATATGTTTTGCTATGTACGTTGAAGAGTTAAAACTGTATATATTTTACACAGGCACTTGTTTCGTGAAAAAAAATTACCTATATACTTTAATACATATTTAAGTATATAGGTATTGTTTTTCTGAGAAAAGTGCCTGTGATGTTTTGCTATGTACGTTGGAGAGTGGAAACTATATATTGCTATGTGTCTATTTTCAAACACACTTATTTTGATAGTCCCAAAACGTTCACTCATTGATTTACTATACAAGTATGATTAAAACAGTGTTCTTATGCTTAATATTACATAATTTGAATAAAAAAGGAAGCTCCTTATCTAAATGAATAGCCTGTAAGATATAATCATTTTTTGTATATCTGAAAACAGGTAAAATTTCTCTTTTTTAAACACACACACACACGCCTGTTGTATGTAATTTTACCTGACAGAGTTTCAGATTTAATTGACCTTCAAACTAGACACTGGAAGAGGCCATGGTAATTTTATCAAATGAAAGGTTCGATTTGCCAGTTCTTACTTTTCCACATTATTTTTAATGCATAGAATATTAACAATAAACTATACATGAATACCGCATTCGTCTGAAATTGGAGATATTTTTCAGATCATTCGTGTCCACCCTTTACAAAGTTATCATTTTAAAGAGAAAGTTGAACAAATGATAAATGAGTTGCGAAATAATATAAAAGTAACTTATTTATATTCGAACCTTTGGTTCTTCTGGTCCAACCAAACAAACGCTTCCCCATTTCGACGCATGACTTGCAGCTGCAGACCCTATCAAACCTGCTCCAACAATACATAGATCATATATTCGTTCTCCGTTCATGACTGTGTATTTAATAAGATTATGATTACGCATCTGTGACGTATCAGTTTAGATTATATACTAGTCAACGAAGGAAATTATACAAATCTAGTGAGTTGTGGTATTGACTTAATTAATATAATACGATTTATTTGTGATTTTCAGTTCCAAAGATTAATAAAGTGTGTTAAAGACCAAGGTTGCAAAAAGCAAAGTTGACTTTACATGGTCCTTGATAAGGCCCTTTCGTTTTTAAACTACAAAACGATTTTTTGTTTTTGATGTTTAAAGTGTTTCCAATGTCATATAAGTTTTCGATTTACATCTTCCACTCCAACAAGACATGCTTTTGCTGGGGTTTACAACACGGCTAATATATCCAATTAAAGATTTTGATCATATTCAAACATACCAATAACTTGGTTTTGATATTTCTAATTCGAGTCCCTCACATTCTAATTGATTAACAGGTATATATCATGTACAATTATATGTAATCTGATACTCTTAAAACCTTATAGGCGTTGTACACATGCATGTTGAACAATCAAAAATAATACTTTATATAATTTCGTGCGTCCGAGGCGCATTTCTGAACTTACTTTCATCAGGAACGCTCTTAACCTCAAACTTAAAAGCCAATGATGTATCATAAGACCTGTAAAAATTATGAGCTGTATAAACAAACGGAATTTTATAAAAAGAACATCCAAAATCACCTTCGGTAACAATTGAAGAAAAGTGGAAAACTTAGGTTTTAAACAAATTTATCAAAGGAGAATTCAAGAAAAAACAAAATCATAAATCATTTCAGTACCGATGCAATGACAACTGAGCTGATGACATCCTCGGAGACTAACAGTCCACTAGCAGTAGTATCAAACCTGTCAATCTAATTAAAAGATCTCTGATTTCGTTATCCTCATATAATACGATAGCATGCGATTTGTTATAGATCTAAATTTTAATCAGATTGCAAACCAGTCACGGCTAGTAAATGAAATAACACTTTTATAGATATTTCATATCTTCATGATAGTTTTGCGGTGTTTCGTAAATTATACCATAGCTTTTGTTGAAATCCCCAGCAATAACCTCACGAGACGAAGTCGAGTGAGGTTGCCGAGGGGTTTCAACAAAAAAACTATGGTATAATTTACGATACACCGAAAAATTATCCAAAAAATATGGAATATCTGTTTTAACCTATCGCATCTTTTGCTGTTCAAAATTGTATATTTCATAGTTTAGTTTGTTTACTATAAAAATAGTTTTGATAATAGTCAGTTAAATAACCCCTTTCGGGCCTTACACATAAAGCTCCGCCTACTTTCTAAAATAAGCACGGGCTTCTGAAACAGCAGGAAAATCAGTTTTTTTCGACAGCGATGGATGAATGCACATTTACATTGGTGACGGATAACGTTACAGACGAAAACATTTTGAAAGAATTAGATTTTCTGGATATAGACGGAAGAAACTTCAGATTTCTGATATTTTGAAAGATTTCTGGGATCCCAGATTAAAAATTGAACTGGAAAGGGTTATTTTTTTTTTATTTTATCAAAATGTTTTTCAATATTGATTTATAATTCTGAGGAAATTAATTTCACAAGAATCTTTCAGAGAGTTCGGATGAATCATTCCACACTCTAATTTGTACCAGAAGACCAAGTCATACATTATTTAAAAGGGATTTAAAAATGTTCACGAATAAAATCACATGTTGACTAGATAATTTAAACAAAAAATTAAGATTCATTTAGAGTAACCAGACGCTATCTAATTTTACATGTAATGGTCCAATATTGTTGTTATTACTTAAGCAACCTCGTTAAAGTCTAGATGTCAGCAGTGTATAACAAATCGGGCGCGGATCCATGATTTTGAAAGGGGGATCTAGCAAATCAACATTTGGAGTTCTACAATGGAAAAGTCTATGTCTTTACCATATATGAAGCTCATCAAAAGGAGCGTACCCCCTCCCTCCCAAAAAAAACCAAATCCGCCTCGGCAAATTTAAACCTATACATGTAGCTGTACAGTGGAGCCTATGTAATACAATCTAAGTATACATCTCAATAACCGAAATTAACTTATATTTTCCAGTATAGTATATAAACTAGTACATATTTACAAATATAAATCTTAACGCCTTTATATGTTTTTTAAACTTTATTTGTTTGGTTGTTTGTTCTAGGAGCGAATTTTTGTCCACTTAAAAATATAGGACAATGGAGTTGGTGTACGTGGGTTCGATTCCCACCCTAGGCATTCATTTATATCATCTGGTACAAAGCGGGCAGTTTAGCTTAGTGGCCCGCACTGAATCTGTTGTTCCAATGTAAAAAAAATCAGGCGGCCAGCTGGTCTTGCTATCTTTCTTTTTCTTCTAGAAGACCATATACAACAAAACCATGGTATAATTGTGAAAATTATACCATAGATAGCTATGGTATAATTTTCGGTTAGTGAGATTTATACTCGGGTTGCATTGTACAGCTATATGTTAAAATATAATTTCGTATGTTCAAAGCGTTTTTCTTGATTTACCTTCTTCAGGAGTTATAAGACCAAAGGGGGCCATTTTCTTCTAATGTCAACTTTGCCTGAGGGAGTTAGAACCTTAGTTTTTAAATAATTTATTAAATTGATTTTTTTTTACTATATATAAATCATGTCAGTACCGAAGCACTGACTACTGAGCTGATCACAACCTCGGGACTAATAGTCTTCTAGCCATGGTATCGACCAAACCCTCGGAACTAATAGTCTTCCAGCCATGGTATCATCACACCCTCATGACTAAGCGGGGAGCCAATTGACCAACTGCAGCGAAAAAGAATATCCCGGCGAATTCATCTAAGATCAACTTTGCCTGGTGAGTGGGGGTTGGAACTATAGCTTTTGGATAATTTATTAATTTATCAACGGAGAAATTTAAACAAAAATTATTTTAGAAATCATGTCAGTAGCGAAGCACTGACTACTGAGCTGAATACTCTCGGGACAAACAGTTCACCAGCAGTGGTAGCGACACTGACTACTGAGCTGAATACTCTCGGGACAAACAGTTCACCAGCAGTGGTAGCGACACTGACTACTGAACCGAATACTCTCGGGACAAACAGTTCACCAGCAGTGGTAGCGACACTGACTACTGAGCTGAATACTCTCGGGACAAACAGTTCACCAGCAGTGGTAGCAACACTGACTACTGAGCCGAATACTCTCGGGACAAACAGTTCACCAGCAGTGGTAGCGACACTGACTACTGAGCTGAATACTCTCGGGACAAACAGTTCACCAGCAGTGGTAGCGACACTGACTACTGAGCTGAATACTCTCGGGACAAACAGTTCACCAGCAGTGGTAGCGACACTGACTACTGAGCTGAATACTCTCGGGACAAACAGTTCACCAGCAGTGGTAGCGACACTGACTACTGAGCCGAATGCTCTCGGGACAAACAGTTCACCAGCAGTGGTAGCGACACTGACTACTGAGCCGAATACTCTCGGGACAAACAGTTCACCAGCAGTGGTAGCGACACTGACTACTGAGCTGAATACTCTCGGGACAAACAGTTCACCAGCAGTGGTAGCGACACTGACTACTGAGCCGAATACTCTCGGGACAAACAGTTCACCAGCAGTGGTAGCGACACTGACTACTGAGCTGAATACTCTCGGGACAAACAGTTCACCAGCAGTGGTAGCGACACTGACTACTGAGCCGAATACTCTCGGGACAAACAGTTCACCAGCAGTGGTAGCGACACAGTGCTAGTAAATGAAAATATAACACTTTTAGTGCATCTACGTTCAAACGGATGTTTACGGACAAAAAGCATACATTCAACCAGATTTGACATTGCAAGCAATAGCGGGTGTCACCCCGGTCTGGTAATTGTCGTTAAACGTCAGATAATTTATATCTTTTCAGCAATGAATGCATGACAACACATATTTCTGTAATTTTATAGAAAGTTAGGAGCATTTATCAAATTTTCACATTACTGCTGTTTCCACAGTAACCGCAGTCATTTTGAAAATTCAAAAGTCAAATGGCACCTTCACACATGCCAGTTAACATTTCTGTAAAGTATCATTAAGTAAGAGCATTCTGAATTGTTTCCAAAATTTCAAAGACGGATGCCACACTGACAAATGATAGGTAACTTATCAACACCGTTTATAACTGGATTTTTAATAATCTACCATTTACTGTAAGAAAATACTACTGTAATGTTTCTCAATAGTTCAATGTAAAACTTTCCTCCTGTTTCCATGGCAATGGCGACCATTTTGGAAATTCCAAAGATTGGTGGGAAAAAAGGGGAATGATAATATGCCACCGACCTCCGTTCGGGGTGTCAAAAATAATTTAAAACAGACTGCCAATGATTTTTATTCTAATGCAAACGTGTATTCTTAAATACGTATGTTTTACGCATTTTGATATACGTAAAACATCCACCTTATTGAAGGTGTCACACCAGCAATTCAACCATTCTGCATCGATGTAACTTTTCCTGGACTAAACTGAGTGTGTTTGATGTTATTGTTTACTATAACTAACAACGGAATTTGCATAAATGAAACTTTTGCTGAATGAGAAAAATATTTGGACCTCTTTGAACCCAAATTATCAGGAATTTGCATTTATTTTTTGGACAGACGTACATCATAGTATACTTCAGTTATAACGGGTAGCCGTGATATAAGGTAAATCAATTCGCACCAGACAGCTGTGGAAATTAAAAACAATTGTTGAATGCATCATGTTTTCCAATTGGTAGTATAAACCTTTAGCCGTAGTCACACAACGTTATTTAGGTCACTGCTGGTCACCAGCCCAGTAGTCAGTATTCTGTGTTGACATGAAATGTCATTGATATGGTCCTATTTGTAAATTCACTGTTTACAAAACTTTGCATTGTTCGAAATACTAAAGATTTTCTAACCAAGGAATAGATTATCTACGGTAGCTGAGCCTGTATTTTGGTAATCTTTCGGAAATTTTGTGTCCTTAAGACTG